CAAAAATGTATATGCAAGTGAAGAAGATGCCATCAAGGAAAAAATATACAAAAATAATGGAATTCTGTGACTTTCCTCGACCATCTTTTGACGTGCGATTGAAACCTGCTAGGCCCTGGTGCCATCAGTGGTGGATCCCGAGGGTTAAGAGGCACGTACCAATAATGCCATGTCTTTTGGTAAGTCAAGTCCGTCGTAAGTAGTCAATTTAATATTGATTGCACATTTCAGGCCAAGAAGTCCTATGTCCTTCAGGTGAGGTCGTCAGATGAATAGTGGTGGCACCTGTGCATCGGGGCGACACGTGCGGGTCCCGGCAACGACATGGGCCGTCACACAGGCAACAGCGACGCCGTGGCAGCTCTCTCCAACGATATCTGTGCAAGCGCACGGCAAGCGCAAGCGCCTAGGTGGCTGTGGTTTGTTCTTGTCATTTGCACGTTTATAGGCCCGAAAAGCAGTTGTGCGAGGCTCTGAATGAACCCTTCCTCCTTAAACTGCAAAGTTTCGATTGACGAAATTACGACCATGGAAAATATGTATTTTGCCATTGCCACCTATTTATAACGGCAAAATACACATTTGATTCCGGTCTCAGATTCACTGATACACATCTGATTCAAGTGTTTAGAAAATATCCCACACCGTGTCTATTTTCTAGACACTCGAATCAGCACTGGGCAATATATTTGGAGCTACGACGGGATAAGTGGGGCTTGAGCCTGCGCCTTTCATTATTTTTTTTTTTTTATTTTCGTCATCGCTGCCCTTGGGAAAAGTTTCCAAAGAGTTCCCAAAGTTGCCAGCAAAGTTGGTAGCTTACGCCCCGACAATTTGCTTGAATTCACATGCGAGCCAACCTATCCGTTACATTCCGAGATCCCAGCGGACTTAATTATATCCTGGTCCGCCGATCGCTGAGGCACAGTCCTCCCATCACTGAGGCACAGCCCACCGATCACTGATGCCTGGCCCACCGATCACTGATACCCGGCCCACCATCACTGACGCCCGGCCCACCGACCACTGAGGCACAGGCCCGCCACGGCCTGAGACGGCCGATCAGAGCGGCAGGTCGGACGGCCCCCGCCACAGCCCGAGGCGGCCGATCAGAGCGGCAGGTCAGACGGCCCCCGCCACGGCCCGAGGCGGCCGATCAGAGCGGCAGGTCAGACGGCCCCGCCACGGTCCGAGACGGCCGATCGGAGCGGCAGGTCAGACAGCCCCCCGCCACGGCCCGAGGCGGCCGATCGGAACGACAGTTCCGACGGCCCCCCGCCACGGCCCGAGACGGCTGATCGGAGCGGCAGGTCAGACGGCCCCCAGCCCCGCACCCATTTACCGATGAGCAGCAGCACGGCGCACCGCCACAGGCCGTTCTCTACACCGGCATGCACGCGCGACACGCCCTCCGGCGGCGGCCAAAACCTCGCCGCCATAACGTATCCGAAATGTAGCCATTCGCGTAATGTACAGCAGTCCGTGGCACAGCAGAAGACAATCAGGGCCGATAAATCCTCAGCTCTACTCTAACGAAGCTCACTCTAATCTGAAAGCAACGTCCCCAATACAGCTGAGACAGATGACATCGTGGATATATGAATTGCGCAGCGGCGGTGACCCCGGAGCGTCAGGCCTGGTCTGATCCTTCCAATGCTTACTGGTGAGACGAAAAGGCTCACCAATCAATGGGACGTCGATGTCCAATGCCAGCCAACGTTCCGCGCAGGCAATAAATGCATTATAACTGAGCGCCCTGGCTTGCTCAAAGCTTGACACATCGGGGAGTACGAGGGACTGCCACGTGGTAAAACATCGGGGATGGCAACATACACAGATCATTGGCATTATGTCCGCCATGAGCACACATGCAACAGCAACACGTACAGAAATGACGTTTCAGTATTCTAGGGCCACGGTTGCCATTTCATTTAATTAAGTTCCAATTCATAGGTACTGACTCATTTTCACGTCAAATGCACAATGCATCAGATATGTTTGAAGTCCTGCGAACTGGCTCGGCAGACTGGCGTTTTCAGTATGGCGTGACCTGCACTGCCATCGAAAACACCTCCAGCACACAGCCCTCGCAGGCTGGCGATGGAGAAAACCCGGCCTCAATTACTGCTGCTCATAGTGGCCGAACTCGAACTCGAACCGTGCCCCGGGTGGCCCTGGTCACACTTGCAAACGCCTGATCGCTAGGCCTACCGAGAGCTTACCACCGCCCGCCTTCCCGAGCCCCCACTCACGCCCGACCAGTCTCAGACGCGCCCCATCCACACCGAGCACACAGAAGCACGCTGGACACAGCTTCTAGCAAGAATCTGGGGACCCGCCCGAGGCGCACACGTAGCGACTGTCTACCCGGGCCGCTCGCCCACCGGCCGGGGGCCACCGTACTCCACGACCCCAAAAGGTCGGCGAGTTCACGCAAATACGGGAAGCTGGCGGAGCCGCCGGCGCGCATCGTAACACTGCCGCTTCCCTGCCTAAAAGGCCGCCTGGGGAGAGACCACGGGAGATAAAAACACACATATCCAACAAATCGCTTCAAACAAGCCACCATTTTACAGACCATCTCTCGACAAACTCATCGAACGCCACCCGCCCTTGGAGCCTGGTTCCGATGTTCTTCTTCGAGCAGCCTACTAAGTCTTCACCCGTTCTTGTAGCCCGGCTCCAATGTTCTTTTTCGAGCAGCCTGCTAAGTCTTCACCCGTCCTCGGAGCCTGGCTTGGATGTTCTTCGAGCAGCCTGCTAAGTCTTCATCCGTCCTTGGAGTCCGGCTCCAATGTTCCCCTTCGAGCAGCCTGCTAAGTCTTCATCCGTCCTTGGAGTCCGGCTCCAATGTTCCCCTTCAAGCAGCCTGCTAAGTCTTCACCCGTCCTTGGAGCCCGGCTCCAATGTTCTCCTTCGAGCAGCCCACTGAGTCTCAGGTGTCCTGAAGGCCTGCCGATTTCTACGGTCACCTGGTACATTCTTCTGCCAAACAGGCTGCAGGCGCGTGGCCGGTGAGGACCCGACGGCTTTCGTTGCCGTCTGGTGGCAGCCGTTCTCGGACTCTTCAGCCGGAGCGGCAGCAGACGGCCTCACGTGACCTCCCTCCTGGCGGTGTCACCACTCAGCCGGGAGCGACGGTCGCGTGCTGCCGCCTCGGTGCCCGACTGGGACTCCGTGAGCTTTGTCAGCTGCACCCCTTCAGTACATTCGGCCCATAGCCCCGGCAGCTTGATGATATCGGCGCTGACCACACTCGACTGTCTTCGGCTGGCAACCCCTCCAACCCGCCGGCGACTCGAACCGAGCATGCCCGAAGGCATCGGCAGTAGTCCCCGATGGCTGCCTTCTGCGCCAGCGCTGCCATGCCGCGCCGCAGCCTGCGCCGTCTTTCCTCCGAGCCCCGGCCGGCAGGGCGCCGCTCGTCTCAGGTCAAGCCAGCAGACGCGGCCGCTAACTGTCCTTCCGCCAGACGGTATTTATGCGAGCTTGGCTCTGGTGCTGCTACTGGTGCGCGGCTGTACAGGGCGGGCATCCGCCTGCAGCGGTCGGCACGGCCGCCCTTACGCAGCATGGTCACCAAAGCCAGGGCAGAGGCTTCGGCAGCAGGTCCTGCTCAAGCGGCAGGCGTGCTCTCCGGCCGCCGTGTTGGCGGCCGCGATCTGAAGCCCGGCCAGGCATGGTGCCAGACGGGTGATACCTTCTCTCGTCTCGGCTCTGACTGCATCAGCTACCTGAGTGAGCCTTCTAGTCATCTGGGTCTTCTGATCCTGTCCATCCAGCTGCTGCCTGGCATTCTGACCGTCGGTCCAGCTGCTAGTCGCCGCCCTGGACCTGTTGCGCCAGCCTCCTGCTGAGGCCAGCTGGAGCGTGACTGACAGCAGCCGCGCATGACGTCATGTGCCTTCGGCCCAGGTCACACTCGGCCTCTCCAGCGGCAGCCTTTGATGGCTTACCTCCAGGCATGTGGTGTTGCCCGCCGGTAGCCTTTTCCATCGGGCGGGGCGCCGCGTCGTCTATTCCCGTCGGGCGGGACGCCGCGCCTTCTATTCCTGTTGGGCGGGACGCCGCGCCTTCTATTCCTGTCGGGCGGGACGCCGCGCCGTCTGTTCCCGTCGGGCGGGACGCCGCGCCGTCTGTTCCCGTCGGCGCCACCCCCGACTCAGACTGACTCCCGACTCCAGACTCCCGTCGGGCGGGACGCCGCGCCACCTGTTTCCTAACGCCGCGATCTTGTCCAGACTCTAAGACCTTCTAAGACTAAGACACCTCCGCTGATGATACTATTTGGATTTGGGGACTGACTGACTGCAGCGGTAACCTATCAGCAGTGTAGATCTCGCCTGGCACCATACTATTAACAGCTTGCGCTTTCGAACGTGAGCGCTGCCGCCGTAGAATACTCCCAATGAACAGCGGCTTCGCTAGTCGGCACTGTGCCCAGGGCGAAATGGCGTCTCTTCGCATCGTCAGCGTCGTCGTTCGGTCTGCCCCGAACGAACCAACTGTCAAACTGCCCCTAGAGTATAATGGCCTGCGGCCTCGGGCGCCCAGATGACACACCTGACAACACAGCCTATCACAGCCACTGCCTATCGGTACCACACCAACACTGTGTATGCCGCCACACCCAATGCCACTTTTGCATGCGTTCGTTTTGGACACGTGTGCTCCAATCACGGAGCGGCGCGCGCCGGTCTCTCAGATGGCTATGGCCAGCCGCCGTCGCCACCTAACCCGATCAAACCTGACCGTGGCGCGAGCACTCCCCAGCATCAGACAGCCAACGTGCAGCCGCGAACGCAGTGTTACCGCGTGACGCAAGCAGTGCACTCCGATCAGACGCACGAAGCGCACACAGTCCTTTCTTTCTCGCACTCTGACACACCCATAAAAAGTGTGCGCGAGCCAATTGGTCTGCTTCACGTGGACGAGCGTGTCGTGCCCGCATAGCATCACACCACACACAGACGGCAACCACCTGACTGATTGGCACCCACCTCTTCTTCTCCTCCAGCGACTGAGCCTTCATCTGCTGGACCTCCATCGAGTCGGGCTTGCGACGCCGCATGTACAGATCGTGGTTGCCGATGCACAGGTCCAGGATCTGTCGGGTGTCAGCATCTGCTGGGTCAGAGTGGCTCAAGGATTCGCCGCAGCTCCGCCAGCTCCCGGTCGACCGTGGTGGCCACAGTAGCGCCGGCTTTTTAACAAACAATTGTGCCGGTGTATTTTCCACGTGAGACTGGCTGTAGGATTTGCTCCGTCGCAGCATGACGCGTATTGCACTAGATCACAGCCTGCTATATGACCGGGGTTAATAGGCATTCACATGACCGATTATTTACGACGGGTTAAATGCACATGCCGTGACCAATTGGCTATCGTCGTCTCACGCGCTGAGGGTCGGAACAATACAACTACTGTTCATATGATAGAGGCCGGCAAAGCCTTTGACAAGCGATTGACACACACTCACACCGCAACTCCAATCAAACGTCAAATAATCGGTCGCGCGCCACGTACAGGTGCCACTGGGTGCCTTACTCAGACAGGCGTGTACGAAACATAAACGTGGCGCGCTTTGCATGAGGCTGCGAAACATCGGGTGATTTGAAACAGCTGATTGGTTTGCCGAAAAGCTTGACGGCTGTTCGAAGGGCCGATTACTTCGAGACAGATGACATTACTCTACATAGTGCTTGGCTTACCAGCTTGTTCATTTTTAAATTCTGAGAAAAGAAGACGAAATTCGGCGCTGACTTGTCGACTATCTTGATGGTGAACTTCTTGTCGTCGTAGCTGATGTTCTTGATTTCCGACCAGGGGAAGGAGATCTTGGGCGTTAGCTTGTTCTCCTTGTCGTAGATATTCAGGCCCAAAGCACCGACGCCCAGGAATAGCTCCGAGCCTTTATTGTTCTGGGGGCAAAAGACCGTCTCAGCCGATACGCTTCCCACAAAAGGCCAAATGACGCACGACGGCTGTGCATAACGGCCCGGCGCCGATCCCCGAGGAGTATTGGCCAGACACAAAACAGCTCCACATTGTAATAGAATGGGAACTGCACAATCGGCTGCCACCGGGGACCACAAACCATACACGTATACCTTCCTCTTCTATCGTTCTACGACTTGTTCGCGTGCATCCGTGCATGCCAATAATAGCTGCTATTGCCACCTTCCAAATTTGTTCGTCGTGGCGCCAAACAAGTATCATCCCACGCGTTGACATTTTTTTGTCTTGTCTCTGTGAGCTTGCGGTGGAACATCGAGGCCTTCCTGATAAAGTATTACATAAAAGGTGAAACTCCAAAGTCTGTTTTGATATATATATATATATATATATATATATATATATGTATATATATATGCATATAGATACTGATGTATGTCGATAAAGTATACATATGCTACACCATATCACGGTATCTGTATTTGCATTTATTACGCATTATGACATCTTCAGCAGAAAACAATAACATTCAGTATACCAGGAGGTACTGATTAAATGGCATCGTTTACAGTCCATGCATTACCTGGCTATGGCAGGTAAAATTAGGTAGGTGACACATATGCTGATACAATCATCCCTGGAGCATCCACCGCTTCCAGCTGGAGTCATACATGTATTTATAAGCTGAACGGCATTTCTTTTTTGTACACGGAATACCACAGCACATAAGATGTTTCGTAACATGCCCGGGACGTTTGACATAAAAAAGCAAAACGCCCCCATTTGAAACCGATTGAATAAATACCTGAGGAACCACGTTTGAGGAATGCGTCCACATCCCTCATGATGGATAGACATGCACGATAGAGCAGAGTGTAACGAACACCAACTTAAAGTAGACATTCTAGCAACGGCAAAGAAAAGCGCGGATATCAAGACATTAGAATCACTGCATAACTGCAACGTCCGTAAGAGACTGAACATACAAACATCGTTCTGCGACGTGATTTGAGCGGCGTTTTTGTCAGGTAAAGTACGTTTAGAAATGGTTGGGCAGTCTTCATTTCCAATACTGATGCCCCGCAACAATTTACTTTCTACCCTGATACTCGGAACAACCTTCCAGCTTAGCTGTCAGCCTGTAATTTGGGCAGCCCATAGCATAATGCAGTGTATGAGGTGTTGGGACTAGAGCTTGGATGACTGTTTTACTGTTTGTGGTCAGCATATTTTTCACGTTTTACTCGGAATGGGTCACTGAGGCTTTTCGGCAAAGCTGTCTGAGTTTAAAGCAGCCGTTAGCACAGTACCGAGTGCGTGCGTTAGCATATAGGAGTTTGCTTATTTATTACTGTGGTATCACTTTTAGTGAGCACATTTTTTACTTAGGCGTCGGCTCAGACCAAGACGCCTGTGTTTCGAATAGCCAATAGCATAATGCAACGTACCGAGTATTATAATGTGGAGGCTTGGACTACTGGCAACCATGGCATCGTTATACCGGAGAAGTCCATAAGGATCGGACGTTTTCTGTCTAACACGCGCCTTCGGTTTTGGAGATTTAATCTGCGCTTCACACTGTCCACTCGTCACCACGAGCAAAGTCATATCACAGATCCTAGCATTCTAGCCGTCGGTTATTTTCCTCTTGCTCACTCAGTGTTTCCGGAATTTCGAGCCCAAAGTTCTTATGCTGTATTAACAGCCTACAATGCACCCCAACGTACTGATGACACAATATAGTACCGAACAGCGCTACTCTTTTGGCCCTACATGTGTACGTATCTTTATGGATGTAATGTAGCTATATATATTTATAGCTATATAACATTGGTCGATGAAAATAACAGCGGATTTGTTGTTTGTGATCTCTGGAAATGTACTTTCAACCTTGCATATTAGGTGCTTGCTTTTTGGGCTGTGCTTGTTACGAGATTAAGCAAAGATCATTGCGAGAACAGAAGTAAACCACATTTCTTCCTTTCTTGAAGTTTTTCGAGGTTTCGTCAATCTTTGACATTCTTAACACAGACCGATAGGACCTAATTGTAGTGATTATTTCCAGAATTACTGCAATGCACTGCGTACTGTAATAATGTAACACCAGAACGCTTGGGGTCACACAAGGTCTCAGTGCCAAAAGCCAACAACGGAGAAGCTCAAGCTTGGACACAACTCCCTGGCAATGTGGCTCATTCAGTAAAGTTTGGCAAATGCGCAACAGGTAACCGCGGCATGAAATCCTCACCGACCATGCAGACAGTGCCCGGTGATACGGTAATGCCTCCCGTGGTCAGCGCCGCCGCTGGCGTGCTCTTAACGTTTCGCCGTGACGAGCGCGGTAGGAGACGTTAAATCAACGACCTGTCACAGCGAGGCCAGAGAGCGGCCGCTCCGCCCGTGGGCAGTAGACATGTGCCGGATGCGCGGACAAAACGGGCCGGCTACCCGCGCTCCCCATTACGGATGCGTCACCTTTGATAGTCGCCAGTTCGTTGGAATCCGGTGTGTCCCCACCAAGCCTCCAAAAATTTAATGGCGCAGGCTGCAGCATACAAAAACAGCTGATATTGAAGGGCGAATATCTACTAGACGGCCGCATAGATTCTGCTAAGGCGGTCATATAAGTAATTTTACTGCAAGCTCTGCGCGTTTGTCTTCGGGTGCTGCGACAAGACTGGGTGATACGGACACGGGGTGAGCAGAACACCGACTAGCTGTTCACCCTGATCCCACACGAGCACGCAGCCTTGGTATCCCTTGCAGGTTGATGCTTGTGGATAAGGGCATGCCAAAAATACGCGAACGCGAGTGCTAAAACAGAAACAAGCGTAACCATTCATGGGAAATTATCATGGGACGGACATACCATTGCATGGTTTATATCTCTGCCATTCCTGTGCTCGCATTCCTTCTAATGCCACTGGTGACGGGTGGATACAATATCTCTTGCCTGCCTTTAATCAGTGTGTTCGCACATTTCATCACCATTAATTAATGGCAATGTGTTAATCATGCGTCTTTGTGCACACATAATTAACAGCCGAGCGGTGTCCAACCACAACACGGGCCGCGCGGCTCGGCACGCGGCAGCCCGAGGCCGGCAGGGCCGGGGCCGTGCCGCACTGACCGTGATGGAGAAATAGCTGACGCCGTACATCTCCAGGTCCTGGGCGATCTTCAGGTACTCCATCTCGGCCTCGTCGCGCGACATGCCCTTGTGGTCTTGGTACCTGCCCGGCCAGCCTCCCCGTCTCAGCGGTGACAACGCTCATGGCAACCACACCCGACATACCGACACACGCGACACACAGAACAGGCGCCACATACCGGACACACGAGACACACAGAACAGGCGCCACATACCGACACACGCGACACACAGAACAGGCGCCACATACCGACACACGCGACACACAGAACAGGCACCACATACCGACACACGCGACACACAGAACAGGCGCCACATACCGACACACGCGACACACAGAACAGGCGCCACATACCGACACACGCGACACACAGAACAGGCACCACATACCGGCACACGCGACACACAGAACAGGCGCCACATACCGACACACGCGACACACAGAACAGGCACCACATACCGACACACGCGACACACAGAACAGGCACCACATACCGACACACGCGACACACAGAACAGGCACCACATACCGACACACGCGACACACAGAGCAGGCTACAACACACGGGGCAAGTGGAATGCAGAACCAAGATTTACCGAAACTTGAGATCCAAGTCTGATGAAGGTTACTTCAGAACTCTGGACATGCACGCAAGCATCAAACATCAAACATCATATCTGTCTGGAGTTGGTTCCAGGATCATGCCGAGTCCACTGGGCCAGTAATTATCTGTATAACTGCGGACCGGGGACATCTGGTAAACACGATGCCTCTTTGAAATACAGGAGCGCACCAAGGGAATCGCATCCAGATCACTCCTAGCACCTACCAGATATTGATGCGCTCTTCCCACATAGTGGTAGTCATGTTATACTGTTTGATGACCCTCTTGGGCAGCAGCTCCTCGTTCGCCAAAATCCCGGAAGGCAAGCTCGACTCTCCTGCGTCGCCGTTCTGGGGACACAACAACGGACGTCAGAAATCACCTCCGACTCCTTATCACAGCGGATGGTCGATGAAAACACGAAATCAAGACGTCGCATAATGAAGCACAGGAGGCTTATGCAAACGCCGCCAGCATGATACAATAACGAGCGCCGCCGGCAGCACTCGTCTTTTAATGCCAACTTACCAGAACTTGCGCGGCTTGAGCAGTCCGGCTAGTCGCACTCCTCACCGGCTTAACAGCCACTCAACGTAACGCACGCAGTTTTCAGCAACATTCAGGATAGCTCATTAGGTGTACTGCATACTTAGGCATTCGTACGCCCGCTGTTGGGTCCGATGTGCAACAAAGCAACGTCACCCAAATTCAGCCTGCCCATCCGACTAGCGTGGAAGGTACGGACCATGCAAATTACGAGAAGAGCTGCACAAGACGGATCGAGGCCAGGTTCTGACCTCGTGCGGAAGGGAGAGTGCGGACGAGAAGGGTGGGTTCACGTGGCCTTCGGCCGGGAATTTGGTCCACGCTCTAAGCAGGCCGGGCGGGTAACCAATTACCTCTTCAAACGGAAGTCGAATGATAATTCATGTGGGCGAGCTGGCCTACAGTGGCGACATCTTCCGACTGCGAAGCCGGTGATACGTTCAAAGGAAGGAGCTAGCGGCGGAAGCAGCACACCGCGTAAGGGTGTGTTGCACGTTTGAAGGCATTGAGGCAAGCATCAGATAAGATGAAATAAACTCACTAATAACTAGTCGCAAACTTTAAGTGGAAAAGGCTGCTCCAGAAACAAAATTTATTGGTTTAGTCACCATGCTCCTCAACACGTCATTGATTACTTACGTCATCGTAACTTCACAGCATTAACTGAGAGTCAACTGACGACCGTTATATTTAGAAATCGCGCTCACTAACGCCAGATGTGAACGCCTCGATAGTTGTCTGTCGTGACCTTGATCGCCGCATGGCCAATGGAATGGCACGATAGAATAACGTCAATGTCAAATAACGTCAACGCTCCGCCTGTGGCATCATGGATGCCTGCGTAACCTTGGAATAGTCTTCCCGAAATAGTCTGCGCGTCTAACCGGGCATATAGCTCAGAAACTAGAAGGATTTAGGTCTTAAGATGGGCGGGGCTATGAACTGCACCGAATAATCTTCAAGATGGCTCTTTCAGTCCGAAAGCCCGCACATATGTGCGAAACTTCCCTTAAACCCCAATTACAGTTTGTACACTAACTCGCGAGCCACGGATCCACCGCTTTGGGAACGCGTCCAGGAGCTGTGGCGACCGAGCAGATCCGCTCGAGACGCCAGCTACGCGCTGTAGACCAGTGTACCGTCTACAGGCGGCTGCGTGAGCTCACCACCGTCCGACCCAACCCGATGTCAGCAGCCGACCGTAAGTGGGACATGTCGCCTGCGCACTCACATAATACGCGCACACCAGGGCATCATGACCACGTCAGTAACCACGCAGGCAACCGCCCAGACAGAAACTACACAGGTAGTCCAGTTCGCTGTCAATAACATCCATGCCAAATGTTATTGATTTTCGTGATACTTTTGTCATGATCACCGAAAGTGCAACTAAATCGGAATTCACCAATTTGTTTATCTCAAATGTCCACGCTTGGCCAGGCAGCCGGCTGGTCAAGCTTCCACAGCCCGCTTGGCCAGGCAGCCGGCTGGTCAAGCTTCCAGAGCCCGCTTGGCCAGGCAGCCGGCTGGTCAAGCTTCCAGAGCCCGCTTGGCCAGGCAGCCGGCCGGTCAAACTTCCACAGCCCGCTTGGCCAGGCAGCCGGCTAGTCAAGCTTCCGGAGCCCGCTTGGCCAGGCAGCCGGCCGGTCAAACTTCCGGAGCCCGCTTGGCCAGGCAGCCGGCTGGTCAAGCTTCCACAGCCCGCTTGGCCAGGCAGCCGGCCGGTCAAACTTCCACAGCCCGCTTGGCCAGGCAGCCGGCCAGTCAAGCTTCCAGAGCCCGCTTGGCCAGGCAGCCGGCCAGTCAAGCTTCCAGAGCCCGCTTGGCCAGGCAGCCGGCTGGTCAAGCTTCCAGAGCCCGCTTGGCCAGGCAGCCGGCTAGTCAAGCTTCCAGAGCCCGCTTGGCCAGGCAGCCGGCCAGTCAAGCTTCCAGAGCCCGCTTGGCCAGGCAGCCGGCTGGTCAAGCTTCCAGAGCCCGCTTGGCCAGGCAGCTGGCCAGTCAAGCTTCCAGAGCCCGCTTGGCCAGGCAGCCGGCCAGTCAAGCTTCCAGAGCCCGCTTGGCCAGGCAGCCGGCCAGTCAAGCTTCCAGAGCCCGCTTGGCCAGGCAGCCGGCTGGTCAAGCTTCCAGAGCCCGCTTGGCCAGGCAGCCGGCTAGTCAAGCTTCCACAGCCTGCTTGGCCAGGCAGCTGGCCAGTCAAGCTTCCAGAGCCCGCTTGGCCAGGCAGCCGGCCAGTCAAGCTTCCAGAGCCCGCTTGGCCAGGCAGCCGGCCAGTCAAGCTTCCACAGCCCGCTTGGCCAGGCAGCCGGCCAGTCAAGCTTCCACAGCCCGCTTGGCCAGGCAGCCGGCTAGTCAAGCTTCCACAGCCCGCTTGCCCAGTACGCGCAAATGTCGAAGACAAACTACATCGGTCCACTGTCCCTATGCTCTCATTACAGACGGGCGTTGGAGTGGCTCGATGGGAACCATGCGCATGGGCAGCCACAGGCGGTTTGAGCCAATCGCCGAATTCTTGTTTCCATCTACATGTTAGCAACACTCGCGCCTATGTCGTCTGCTGTCATGTTCAATAAAGCAGGGATGTCTTGCTGGTAGAAAACGTCGTGAAAATACCCCGCTCGCGTAGGTGCCGGCAGGGAGTCGCTGCTCACCAGTCCCCCCGGCCCAGACAAGTCCAGGCATTGCAAAGGCATGGGAGGCACGCCGGGTATGACCCCGTGTTCAGAAGGGCATCTCACTCAAAGTACGTAAGAGGAACAAAATTCTAGTGTCACCAATCCTTAAGTTCAACATTTTATACGCTTACAGGGACTGTCTCATTCAAACTGGGTAACATCTGGGGCGTTACGTCAAGCATGACTGTCCTGGGGTTGGCCGGCCCTCCTCCTGAATACCAGGATCCAGTGGTTGGACTGACACAAATGGTAGAACTGGCAGAAGCTGTTTCAGGCAGTTGCTACCAATCCTGTCTGGCCCTGTTGGGACCTTCTCGGGTCTGGTTACGGGTAGGTGGCAGCAGCAGGCAGCCCCCGCTCAAATCACGTTACATGCCCGTCACGCACAGGCTGCACATGTCAAGGTCTAACGCGGACCCGGCACGTCACCGTAAGCGATTGTCGTGCACCCTGATGGAAATGCTGTGCTCGTTTTGAGGTCACAGAAAAACAGCACAAACAATTGCTTCATACTTCGTGAAAAAGCCGGCAAATACGTGGCGCGCCATCGCCGGCCACGGGTACTGGGGCAGCAGGCCCGGAGTGTCGCGTTCGAGCGGGCTGTTGGGGCCTGGGGTGCTGTGATGAGACGCGGAGCAGCCACGACTGGCCACATCAGCCCGGCTCAAACCAGGCCCTTCTCAAGATGTAGCAGCTCAAACCTAAAACAGCACTCGCGAAGTTCGATAAAAATCATGCAAATAACTCTTGACACTGAATTCATGGACGGATTCGTTTCCCCATACATGCACGAGGCAACTGCATCATCATCATCATCACAAGCCCACTTCAATGGAACTTTAGCAAAAAGCATATCGACAAAGTGTCGATTCGTGTCTTACTGCGCTGCGTTGCAAAACGTCAATGCGGCGTGTTTGTGATAATGATCCCCTACCACCAACCCCGGCCTTTTGTTTCTCCTGCATGCAATGTACCGTGAACCCACTGAGGTCGCTGGTCGCCGAGCCGAGTCTTGTGACCATGACAACGGCAGCAACAACACGCATGGGTATCCAGATTGGCGATACCGGAAGTTCAACATCGGCTAATCGGCCAATCGACCAATCGACCAATCGGTTAACCGGTCAATCGGCCAATCGGTTAATCGGTCAATCGGCTAATCGAACCACCGGGCCATCGGACCATCGGACCATCGGACCATCGGACCACCGGGCCACCGGGCCACGGCTCCAACGAGTCACCGGGCCATCGGACCATCGCATCACCGGGCCATGGGTCCACCAGGTCATCGGGCCACCTGACCATCGGACCATCGGGCCATAGGGCCATGGGTTCACCGGGGCACCGGCCACCGGGCCACCGGGCCACCGGGCCATCGGACCATCGGACCGGGCACATGTGAAACGGACGGCAGGCGCGGGCAGGAGATCAGAACAATGACGAGCAAACGGGCGGCAACCATAACTGGCCCGGAAGCTGCATTAATCTGGCAGCCTCTAGTACGTATAGTATAGCTTAATGTAAGACACGGAAAAACTTAAGGCCACTATTTTCTTTTTAGCTAGAATTAACTACTCCACCCAGTGCGAACCCTGACGAACTGCAGAACCCAAAATCGAGACGCGTTCAACTTTCCACACCGAGCAAACGAGCGATGACGAGCAAAAATAGGCATAATCGTATCTCCGAAGCGCACCGCCATCGGCGGACATCGCACGAGTCGTGTGCCGTCGACTGTCCGGTACGCTCGTGGCGACCACCATCTGGCCCGTGGTCCATTCACCGCCATCGGCGGACATCGCACGAGTCGTGTGCCGTCGACTGTCCAGTACGCTCGTGGCGACCACCATCTGGCCCATGGCCCATTCTATCCCAATCTGGCGGGTGTTGGCGGCAGTGTGAAGCGGATTATACATCATATGAAATATTGCATACATGGAGGTCTAGTGTACTTTATACGCGGCACCAACAGTGGCACAGGCAACTTGCACAGGCAACTCCTCCAGCACTACAGACATATGTGGCGCATGCTGATGACTTCTACTAAAACATACTTGCTTTCGCTGGTCCGCTCATACAATAAAATTCCAGCTAAACGCTCCCGTAGTCGTCAATGAAACCAGACTACCACCACTTGATTAAAGTATTTGGGCTTAGGAAAGTTTCGACAGCAGCAGCTTCTTAGAAGCACACATCTGCAAGTCGGACCAGCGACTGCCAGACCGTTCGCAGCCAGTTAACTCTTAAATGTGACCACAGGTTTGACTGTAGTTCACACGAACATTACACAACGCAAGCTGGATACGCAATGTGACGCCGTATGTATAGGAAAATAAGAGGAGCCTTATGTTCTTAATATATTTAATAACTCCAGAAAACCGTACGTTGGTACATTTCTTTGTAGATGTATTCGTCTTGTAATGAACATGATCAATTGTCCTCTACGCACAAATAGGTCACACGACAAGGTGTCATAGCCCTAATCCATAATTCTGTAAATGAGCTTCTGCGGCATAACAAAGTGGATGCTGCGCTTGCATGCATAATGTGGGACTGGAAGTCCAAATCGGCTTTTCTTACCATTTTGAACCAAGTTAAATGCAAATAGGTGGGCTTATTGTCGTGGAACTGAAGGAAAAACACTCCTTCGCACATCACACTCGGACGTGAAATATGCCTAGAGTGAAATGCATTTACGAAGCCATAACTTCTCATCTCCTCTGACTTGTGCAACGGGAAACAAGGCTTAGCGTAGCCCACTCGGCCAACTTCGTACAACCACGCAAAGCTTGCATAACCAAGTTGAATCCTCCGTGGAATCGGGTTCAGCTCAATGCATTGTGGTTTGGAGCCAACTAAGACTCCAACAAAGCAAGACTACGCAGACCTCCTTTGGACAGGCATGGAGCCCTTCATGTCAAATGTCGGTCTCGCTTGCCGGTCGGCGGCGGAGGAGCGCCTCTCGGCCCGCGGGTAAGCATACCGATGCCAGCACACGACCTGTCATTGCGAGTTGGGGGTCTCCCGGCTCTCGAGCTTCCGGACAGGACTCTCCGGATTCCGCACAACGTTCTTTGGATTCCGGACCAAGCCTGCTTCCGGATACCCATCCGGCGGACTTCAAAACGTTCAGACTAGGACCGCGATGGCGTACACGGTAACTGGGATTGTCCCTAGACCGAGACGTGGTGGTGACGTAGACTGTAACACTGGCGGCTCGGGCGGTGACCGTGACAGTCCAGGCTGTGAGTGCACCGTCCCAGCCGTGCCGCTGGGACACCCAAGTCGTGCCCCTACCAGATGGCGTGGCCGGCGACCGTGACAGTCCAGGCTGGGAGTGCACCGTCCCAGCCGTGCCGTTGGGACACCCAAGTCGTGCCCCTACCAGATGGCGTGGCCGGCGACCGTGACAGTCCAGGCTGGAAGTGCACCGTCCCAGCCGTGCCGCTGGGACACCCAAGTCGTGCCCCTACCACATGGCGTGGCCGGTGACCGTGACAGTCCAGGCTGGGAGTGCACCGTCCCAGCCGTGCCGCTGGGACACCCAAGTCGTGCCCCTACCAGATGGCGTGGCCGGTGACCGTGGCTCCGGATGCAGGGGCCGCCGCCGCCGCGGCTCATACGACCCGGCGAGCCAATCTGCCGCTACCGCCAGCCGATTCCAAGTTCTCGCGGCGGCGGCGCCGGGGGAGCCGTAAACGAGGCGGCGACGACGCGCCGCTGCCGGGCGGCGGCAGCGCGCGGCGGGTGCGGCCTGCACCTGGCGTGCGATTAACGAGCAGGCCTTTGACGCACTGGCCAGTGGGTGTCACAATATCGATTGAGCCCGGCCCGGCCAAGGACACGCCGCACAACCCTCCATTCAGCTTAGCAAAGTACACGCTACGCCCAGCTCCGCTATCTGGAGACCCAACCATGATTGGATGACCAAGCGGACAGCATCGCCACAGCGAGATCGCGATGTCCATCGGGCGACAGCCTGCAGCGGGGTGTCTAGCGGCCAACAGCCCGCAGCGGGATGTCTGCAATGCCCGCAACAGTTGCCCAAAGTAGTAGCATCGTTGAAAAGTGGCCGTCTCTCACTGGCCGGGTTGTTGAGAGCGTCCCGACGAGGCGGTCAGGGGCCCAGCACCCGCCTTGGCCTGCACGGCGTACAACGCCAGCAGGACGCTGACTTCCGACGGTCAGGGTAGGGGGCCCAGCACCCGCCTTGGCCTGCACGGCGTACAACGCCAGCAGGACGCTGACTTCCGACGGTCAGGGTAGGGGGCCCAGCACCCACCTTGGCCTGGACGGCGTACGACGCCAGCAGGACGCTGACTTCCGACGGTCAGGGTAGGGGGCCCAGCACCCACCTTGGCCTGGACGGCGTACGACGCCAGCAGGACGCTGACTTCCGACGGTCAGGGTAGGGGGCTCAGCACCCACCTTGGCCTGCACGGCGTACGACGCCAGCAGGACGCTGACTTCCGACGGGCAGTAGATGTCCATGTTGAGAATAGCCTGCTTGACTTGCAGGAAGAAGAGGTGCTGCGTGATCTCTTGCACCAGCTCCTCGGAGACATCCTCCGGGTAGAACTTCACCAGCAGCAGCAAGGACAGCGGGTAATCCCGGGGCACGTCTTGATCCAGAACTGCAAAACCCACAGCGCCGCATGCACCAGCGGTCCAGAGCCCATCCACGTCTGTCACGCGCCATACGTACAGCAGTGCAACTACACAGAGCCTTGGCTATAATGTATTGTGAGGTCATAAATTTACTTTCATTGACAGCAGAGTATATATATATATATATATATATATATATATATATATATATATATATATATGTATATATATACATATATAAACATATATATATACATATATGTATATATATGTATATATACATATATGTATATATATATGTATATATATACATATATATACATATATATATATATATATATATATATATATACACGAGGTTTGATGCACGCAACGGAAAATGTACAAATGTACATTTCATCAGTTTCTTGTGAGTTTGTTCGATTGTTCGAATTAAATGCGTCGTTTTTTCAGTAAGTTATAACTCAACTCGCCTATAGTCATACATGTCAGTTTAAGCTGACGTTTCAAGGACATTCATTCTCCATTCTCAAAGCCGTATAAGACGGTCAGACGGAAAACATTCGAAGATGGCAAAATGCGGGGCATGCTCTACGAGACATAATCAATAATGAGCCATCAGTTAACGGATTATACGTCCAAATATCTAGGCAAATTAAAAAGACATATGCAACCAGACGCATCTCACATTACCAGCCAGTTCTAACACTATCGAAAGGTAAAGACATCGAATCATCCTGCTGCCAATGGGTGACTGAACAGGTCCAAAGTAATGCGTGACTTATGTTGTTTGTGCAAATCAGGCATTTTTCCTGATCAGGATTACTTCAAGGACTTGTAGGCGGCGTTTGTTCGGACATGATTTATAATCCGTGTGTTTTCAATCAGGTTGGAGCGTAGGAGTTTTTAGTTGTGGGTTTTGCGCGCATGTTGGTCTGGCGTTCCCTCCTGCAGGTGCATAGTCACGCGTCGTGATAGGGATGTTGTGGTCCTACCGATGTGGGTAGAATTGCGGAGCCGGCAGCCTCCGTGCGGACATTTATATCCATACACTACATTACCGCGCTTAAGTTGGTTTTGGTTCGCTGCCAGGTTGTTTTTCTTTATGAGGATGATAGTTGATTTGCTCTTGTAATAAATGGTAAGTCTTATTTCAGTGTTCTAGTCAGTCGGTGTGATATTTCTCTTGAAGTTTCACAAAACTTTTTCATCCATCTTATATGACGGGACATTTGATTTGGATAAAAAGTTGATGGACCGGTTTCTTGCCGAGTGGTTTCTGGTTTAGTCGATTCAAGGTGGACTCAGTCTCTCCGTCAATGGCTCTGTTCGAATAGCCATTATTAACGAGCATTTGCTAACACCGTTCAAGTTCGTGGTGCGTGGTGGACCAGCTGCAGCAATGTTTTGGGGCACGTCGTACAAACGAACGAGTGACGGCCGTACGGTAACGCTCTGGGCATTCGCTGGCCTCGGTCATAAATTTGCTAGCATCAGTGGGCTTATGGTGCACTTTTGAGACGAAAGATCTGCTGCTCGCATCCACATCGATGCGAAGAAAAGATTAATTGTTGTCGACACTCAGGTCGGCTGTAAATCGTAATGACCATTGCCGCTGCACGATGGCCCGCATTTGGTGGAGCTGGGCCTCGCCCCTGATATAAACAAATATGTCATCGACATATCTGCAGTCTATGTGCGGTTTGAGGTTAAGATTCTTGAGGACACGGTCCTCCAGCTAGCACCTGTACGCATTTGCAAAGAGGCACCCGAGCGGTGGCTTCATTGCCGCACTACATGGCGGCAGAGTTTTCCGGTTGGACAGCGGAAGGGTGCCTCTGTTGCGCAGCATCGGAGCGTTTTTTCGAAGATGGGTCGTGCCAGTTTCAGTGGTGGCAAGGCTGGATGATTGCAGACGCAGTCAAGTGTAATTTGGATTGTTTCATCAACAGGCACGTTTGTGCAGACCGTCAACGTCTAATGAAGCAAGTAAACCAGTGAGATTGCAAGACTAGATGTTAATGAACTCTCCTGTTGATTTCAGGCTGTATTCTGCTGAGGTGTAGAGTTTAATCGTGCCATTTAAGTTTTTGCCAGCTGATAGGTAGGCATTGGGATTTGAGATATGATTGGTATCAGCGGGCTGTCCGTTATATGGGTTTTTACGTTACCGTAAGCATAACCAGAGCTATATTCCCCTGTGGCCTTTGTGATGTGCTGCCAACTAGTGCGTTTGCCGCGGTGATCAGGCCGTTGACTTTTATAGCCAGGCTTTATGTTGGATTCCTCGTGGTGCGGGTGAGCTTGGAGGTATCAGGGATGAGACGGTCTGTTTTACTAAAATGGGAAACTTTGGCTTTGTTTTTTTTCTTTGTGGACTTGTTCGAGCAATCAAACAAACTCACAAGAAATGGATTAAACGTACATTTGCCTTTGTGTATAACAAAACTTGTATTAATGAAAGCATCTTGCCTAAGTACATGAGTATACATAGGTATATATATATATATATATATATATATATATATATATATATATATATATATACATTGACAACAAATGGTGTCATCATGGGAATTCCTCAAACAGCTGGTTGTGATTGACATAGAGTCAATCCATCTCTCTGGGTCTTCTAAAACTTCTTTTACTGACACAGTGCTTCACCAATGCACACACATCACACCCAAGAGGGCATGGCTCAACACAAAGCTACAAGAAATCTAGCAACACTCATATGTTAAGTGTTCCAGGAATTATAACTACACACTTTTTAAGAGCTGTAATAGCAATGCTGTTCAATAAACATAGCAATGTAGGATACTATTTTATGTGCTAGCACAACAACTGGCAAGTATACACAGATGGCCTGTGCTGTCACCACCTGACTGGGAATTCCATGCACATGACGACAGGGGTGCCCTTCCACAGCCAATAACACCAGCCACCTGGTCACTGGGCACTCCATGCATAGGACGACAGGGGTGCCCTTCCACTGCCAATAACACCAGCCACCTGGTCACTGGGCACTCCATGCACATGACAACAGGGGTGACCTTCCACCGCAGATAACACCAGTTCTCTGGTCACTGGACACTCCATGCACATGACAGGGGTGCCCTGCAACTGGGCGCTCCATGCCCATGACGAGAGGGGTGCCCTTCCACCGCCGATAACACCAGCCGCCTGATCACTGGGCACAACAGCTGATATCAGAGACAATGTTCCAATGTCCTACCTTTCCGGTCCATTTTCAGCCAGGATGCGTAGCCCTTGACATCTTGGTATTGCAATCCAAAGAACCACGTTTCTCGGAGGCCAATTGTACGACACACTAGATCGAACAGGGTGCGACCTGTCGCTCCCCACTGTCACAAAAAGGGACAGAATGTCAGCGATGAACAGCCTGACCCTAACAAATCATCACCGCATATATACATCTGCCATGTTATCGATTGTTTATGACTGAACCTCAGGGAAGTACAAGTGAAAGATCAATCCCGTGGAAGTAGCGAAATATCGCGGCAAAACTGACAACTTGAAGAGTAAAAGGTGGCTGATGCACCCTGTTGATCAATCTGCCAATATACTGGTATGCAGGCTGCCTTCTGAACCCCATCCCCATCCACTTCAACACAAACCAAGTGACAGAACAATGCATCAAACTCTCCTATGCAATGCCCTGGAGATGGTCTCACACCCAAATGTTGGTTAAATGACACTGAAAACACTCAGATTTCTGCTTGTGATCAACAAAAAAAAACAAGCATTGACAAGCATCACCTTCTCAGTTTCTAACATCTACAAATTCAAGTTTCTACCCACCTCAACATTGAACTCCAACTCTGCATCCATGGTGGTAACCTTCACAGGAAGGGATTTCTTTTTCTTCTTCCCAAATGTTATTTTTGATCCTAAGGCATGTGATCTGCAACAATAAAAGGCTCAATACTGGACTTTGCTACTTTTTTACAGTAAACCCTGGTCTGGTGCTAACAGAAGAAGTGAAAAATGAACTAGGAAGCCTGTGACAAAATTCATTCATTTCACTGTTCTGATGGCCCATTTTTTCAACACCCCAACTCAGGGCTGGCTAGCAACATCTGCTGGCTTTAAGAAAACACTGAGGAGTACCACACCAGAATGTAAAATCATGTTCAATATCAATATCAAAACAAATTCAACACAGTACAGTACTAACCTGGAGCTTGAGAACATCTTTGTGTACTGATAAGGCATCCAGGTATTGCAACTTCCTTCTCTTTCCTGGACAGAGGCTGGAATAAAACAAGCCACTCTTGACATGACATTAACAGTTCAACAATGGCAAGTTCAGCAAAACAATTGAGAAAATTCTGACAAAAGCCAAAAGGCACCATGCCACAACCACAGTGTGTTTATTGGTGGACAACTCAGCATCAGATAGCACATAGAGACCTCAATTAATCTGGTATTATCAGCTTCCCAGTTAACACTCATTTTGACAGCATTCAAACTGGCAAATATTTGCTCAATTGCCTATTTTTAGCTCACAAATGGATTATCAAAGCACCTACCAGTTGTTTCATGAAAGTGCTGGTACAACTTTTTGATGCCAGTCAAACTTGAAAGCATCCACAGCATATGTGGTGTGGCACCAACTACACATTTTGCTTCAAATTTCAAGACTTTGCACATCTTAAATTGCATTATCATAACCCTTATCTACAGCTTATTAACATAGGCAAAATCTGTACTGCTCACATTTAAACCACCCCAGTAGCAAGCAGCATATCAAGGGTGTATCTGATCTTACAGTGTCTAATGATGCAGGCAAGGTAAGCAACACAATCAAAACAGAGACACATGAATGAATACAAACCTGAACATTACCTAAACAGCACCATACACAGATGCCGATTACCATATCAGCACAAATGACAGGCATTACATTAACCACAGCCGCCACATTAACTGGTGACCCAGGTCCAGTCTACAAAAAATGCATACACTGTACCAGACACCTATATAACATCTGTTGGTGAGTTGAACCTAGTATTTCATTGCGGCAAACTCAGACCAGGCAAAATTGGCCTGAGTTTTTTTTGCATAGACAATATTTCAGAACTTTTTATCTGAAATCACTTCCAGGATATCATCTCTCCTAAAGACATTGGTCCTATATATATATTGAAAATAGTGGTGACCATGGTCTAACCTTTGAACATTTTACTTGAAAGAGTACAAGTGCTGACATATTTGTGCAATGTTGTTGCTATGCCAGATATGTATTTCTTGCATTCTGAACCATGGTCTAATAAACATATCCCTTGCTAAGCATATGCATAGTCTTATCATATCATAATCTTATCATAGTCTTATCAGGTCTTCATGCTCAAACTGTGACAAAAATACTTTATATGAACATGTCTGGTGCAGCTGCAGCATCCCACAAGCCTTCAGGGAATATGCACTATAAGCACTTCAATTAAGTAAATTGGCTGATATCCAGTGTGCACTTAGCAGACAATAGTAATGGTAACAGCTGCCTTCTAATGGATGGTAAGAGTTCATCAAGTTGTTGTGATATTCATGCAAGGCATCATGCTCTAGCCTATTTCTGCCAGAATTGGCTCTAACAGAGTCAGCATGAACTAAAAACATGAACCATATCTTCTTGCATTAGAAGGCCAGCCCAGCTAGTCATATATGTCCATTTGGACTCTCAGCTAAAATCATTTCCATGTGCTGAGACACCAGTCTGCCAAAATCCATCTGCTGCACAGGATGCTGATGAGATGTTTATGCACTGAACATTGAGCTTGCATGCACCGAACTCATGCCGAGCCAAATCAGGAGATACTTGCAACAGAGCAGATGTAATGCCACTGTTATAAAATACATGCTCAGCAACACACAAGGGTTTTGAAGACTGGCTGTGACAGGGTAAGAATTGATTCAAATCAAGCATGCATATGATCACAACCATAAACAACTGCAATTGTAATGTCATGTTCAACTAACACATACCTTCTTTGAGGCGGCTCTTAACCTTCCCTACAGTGCACTGCAGTACAGTTCCAGACATCCAGCAGCGAAAAATCCATCTCGGAAGTCAACTCACAGCAATACCATGTGCAACTCCGAGTGCATAAAAATATTTAGAACAGCTTCGTCGCTGTGGAAATCGTTTTCCGCCAGGCCCCGCCCGTAGTCTTGTTATTTCGGTACCTAACAACGAACGGGATGAGGAAATTTGTAACCCAAATCGCCGGCTAAAAAAATAACGCACAATAAGCCAAAACGCCGTATGTAAGGCAAAATCTTATAAAAATACTCTATTCACCGGATCAAAACCAAACAGGAGTTCTTTGCATCAACAAACACCAGCTAACAAGGCAGCCGAAACAAAGTTCTCTAATTTACTGCCATATTTTGCTGCTAGAACAAAGAAAGCAAGAGTTTGCAATCTTGTCATCACAAAGAAATGGTATCAGTTATTGACGTTGCAACTCTTGCAAACTTGACTATCAGACGATGCAAAAGCTACAACGTTATGATGGCTGACCCAACATTTGGTGATTCCAATGAAGTGACCGCGAGACTCATTGCAAAGAAACCATTTAACTCGAGGGTTTAGTTCTCTACTAATCACTCATGTACACATTACACATAGATGAGAGGGGGTTTTGATGGTTCAAAAAATAAGAGCACAACTGAAATTTGTTCCGCGTGGGCATCGTTTCCAATCATGTTGAATTCCTTCAATGTAAAAAACTTTGAAACAATGTTTTTTTGCTTTTTTCTTAGCATTTGATTAATAAGCCTGCCTGCAATTTGCATCTCTAGGGAAAATGTGTTTGCGTTCAGGTGGTCCTTTTCAGGATATAGCACTTGACACAGTGTAACCAGGATGGAGGGCTGAGTGGTCATTCACCACAACCAATGTGTAACCAAGGAGGGGCGGGGAATCGGCCAAAATTTCGTTACACAATTTTGTAAATGACCATCAACCACCACCCAATTCAAAGTGTGTGAAGGCTGTGGAGGAACCCGATTAAAGGAGCATGATACTGATAAGTCTGGCCGCTTTTCCCTAAACAGCCCCTTTAACTCAGTTTTCAACGTATTACCCCTCATGTGACCAGATAATCAGCATTCCAGTTCGATCTGTTGTTTCAATCAGATCCTACTTTTTATGTTTGCCGTTGTGAATGTCTTTTGTACGCAAAGTTGTGCTGTTCGATGAATGGTTGTGATTAAAAACTTGCGTTAAAATGCTTCATTTTTGCCACGTTCCGATAAATATCAAGCAAATTTCTGATAAACCGAGTTAGTAGTTGTAGTTTAAGCAAAGTGACTTACTGACTTTGACAAAAGAAACAAAATATGATAACATAGTATGGAATCATCAGAAATTAAAACAATCTTACTGTATGCTCTTTTTGCGATCTTTCCATCAGCGACGCAGTAACGAACTCCAAATATGGCTCGATACAAGCCAAGATCATTTCGAGAAACAGTAGTTTAGTTTAGATGTTGGCAGCTTAAGTTACGCACAAAAGACGTTTATAGCGGCTTCATATCGCGGTATTTTGGTGGCTCGGCAGCAATCAGTCAGTATTCGCTGGGCTCGTTTGGAGCGTGGTGTTTCTGTTGGGATGAATCCGCGGTGTGGGTCGCAGTAGCTCATCAATTATGGAAAGCTAGTTTGAATCTGCCAACGATCAACATAACGCCAAGACGTAAGTGTTTATTGTGCCATGAGTTCCGTTGTACCGAAAATTGCGTGCAGGTTCTTGCATATGGTGCATGGCATGAGGTGCATGGTGTGATGTCTGAGGTTTCGCCATTTATTACAAACTCCATGGCACAACCTGACTGCTAGACGAAAAAAGCACACAAATTTTACTTGTAAGACACTTGCGCGAACAGATCTACCAGTTTTTTGCTAGACAAGTAGTCGTACGTTTGGTGAAGGCAAATGCAGCTCAAAACCTCAATGTGAAAATAGTTTTGGTATCCTGAGGGTGCCTGGGCTAAATTTATTTTTGGCCTGGTTATTCTTATATTTTTATATGAAGCTGGCTGAACTATGTGGATTTCTAAGATCAGACATCATGCTAACCAGTGCTTATTGTGTTGGCCCTGACCCATACCATTTGATCATGCAATCCAGTTCAACAAAATAATTTGATGATGGAAGTGTATCATACCACAATTCTCTGCATGGGCTGTCCTTCTGTGTGATGTTATCTGACATTTAGTGCAGCCACTGCCAGGACTGCATGTCATACCTGTCCAGGCAAACAGTGAGTGCTTAATACAACTTAAATCTATCTGGCCAGGGTGGGTACATTGGAATATGGGTGCTCTAATGAAATGAGCTATCATGGTAGAGGTATGGGGTTGGATGTGTGCAATGGACATTTATTTACATACATAGATGTCCAGGTACAATGTGGTAAGGAAGAGTTGTTCAGTGTGTTAGTGGGGAACATTATTCACATAGATAAGAGGGTAGTGTTAGCCTCATTCCTGGAAGAAAAAAAACAGGGGAATGGAGATGTAGTTTGGTTGATATTTTGGCAACATGCCTATATCAAAACAATAGCAGAAGTCTTCTGCTATTGTTTCAATAAAGGCATGTTGCTGAAGCATGCATGTCAGCATTTTGGCATGCATGCATGCATGTTGCCAAAATATCAACCTAACTATATCTCCATTCTCCTGGGTTTTCTCCAAGGAGTGAGGCTAATACTACTGTCATCTAGTAAGGAAGAGCATGTGGTTCCAGCCCCCACCTGCATCCCCCATCCCCACCCCTTAACACAATCATGCTGTGCTTCCGATTTTGTATACATCCTGCTGCTGTCCGTGATAATCAGCCAGCAAATACTTGATATCAGCAGTGGAATAGTAGGATAAGAATATGGTTGTTATACCAAAAAAGTGTTGCGGTCAAGTAAGTGTTGTTTTCCATTCACATATGTCGATGAGCAATGATACTGGGAGGAAAGCATGGATTCTAGATGAAAGGGTTGACTTGAGTGTACCTGTATTTGTATTTGTAGTGTTTGTAGTGTAGTTTACCTGTAGTGTATTTGTACCTGTATTTTTTATGCTGTATTTTTTAACCAACTCCATGTCAAGCAGAATGGGCAATGATTTTCACCTGCATCTGTTTGTCAGGCATGCCCCATTCATATGGCTTTATTTTTCCTTTTATAATGCTTTAACTATGAGGTCTGTAGATGCAGACTGAAAGGTTGATACCTAATGAAGGGTGTACATCTTTCCTTTTTGGAACAGCCTTGAACACTGACTGGGGCCAGGTACAGTCCTTGGGGAAATGGCTTTCAGCAGGAAAAGTCTGCTGCATTGAGCTGTATTGAATGGGCAATCTTGCTTGAATCAGATTTATAAATTGATTAATGTGATGAATAGTAGCTGGACATAAGCAACTGAGATAAATGAACAAAATGACTTTTGTCTTAACTTTAGACAAACATAATGATATCTCCAAATGTTGTGCATAGGTGCTTGTTCATGGTTTCCCATTCAGTAATATCATTTTTGGGTCATGTTATCCCCCAGATTACAAATCCATGTGAAGCATTGTTACAAGCACTTAATAATGCTGTCTGGTCACCTACTCCTTCCCAGAGAAGTGGATATGCATGCATGGTGCATTTATGTTTGCTTGGTGCAGTATGACAGTGCCTTGCTGCAAAACTTTAGTATCTGTGAACATCTCAGCATTTCTACCAAAGGCCACTGTGTGAAACAATTGCAGTGTTGTTAAGTGTAGACATGTATAACTGTGGGGGGGGGGGGGGGGTATTTAATTCGGCTCTGTGTATTGTGTACTCTAAGGTATCTATGTTGAGTTTAATTCCTTGGTGCTGTTTTTAAAGTGCATTTTTGCCTGTGTACTGTGACAATTTTCCCCGTAGTGTTTGGTTATCAAAATTGTGTATCTGAAGAGCGCGTTCGGCGGCAGGCCGATAATGTTGCTTAGTTTGCAGGAATGTTCGAAAATTTTCCGGGATAGTGCATGGCACTGTCAACACGAAAAACAAAAAAGGTGGCAGGCGACTATTCACACCGAGGAAGAATCCCGTAAAATTAGCAAAGCATGGTAAAGAAGGAGAATCTGTTTTCGCTATGCATAGCTATGACCATTGGTTGTGCATGGCACATGGAAACTGGAACAGGGGAATAATTTCCGGACCTGCTGAGTGTAAATGAGCATCTCCTTGGGTGATTATCAGAGAGATAATTATTTGTTGAACTATTTTCCCTCGACAGAACGCAGTACATGTAAATTACAGTACAGTACGTGTAGTTTCACCCGTACAGCTGTAGGGTGAAGGACACAATATCTACGTCATAAATGCGTGGAACAAGATTTAGTAACCATAAGATGTGAAGAAAAAATATTATGCGAAAATAATCGTTTGTTGACGTCTGTCTGACCTTGTGTCCACCGCCAGTGCATGTTAGCGTACCCGATGGCGTGGCCAGGACATTAAGGACAACCGTTGCGACACGCACGCTTCCCATTTTGCTTCCCGTGACTGCCGATGTCGACACCGAATTATCCAGGATGAGACAACGTGCGTGGGCTGCGTTTGAGAGTCGGGGCATCTGGGGACCGTTTAGGGGTTCTGAGCACCTGGGGACCGTTTCACAGTAGCGGCAATGCTAGTGCTATTTTCACCACTCTGTTTTGCAGCCAAGTCTCCAACCAGTTTACTCAGCCGTGTTGCGTGAATTTAGTCTGGGCTGTTTGAATGCAATGGGATCCTGTGAGACAACCCGTTGGGAAATACTAACAATGGGGAAAGGGGCGGGGTGCATGTTAAATCACGCGAGAGTTTGTGCAGGTGGAGGTACGACTAGCGTGTGTGGCAGTAGGCCGGGTTTCCTGGGAAGTTTGGCAGGAAGGACATCTTTCTGGGAAGTTTCCTGGGAAGTTTATTTTTGATATTTCTGAGCGATGTAGCAGAGAAGCAGGATTTAACTTAAGTGGAAAGATGGGGTGCGGCGCACTGATCGGTGTTGTGGCTAGAGTAGAGCCAGAGAGTACAAGGTGGTGGCACCTATTTTAACGGAGAAGATTGGTGTAGTTACGCATGTAGACTGTTGTCTATCGTGTCCGTGTATCTATGGTATTTGCAGGCGTGCTGGTGACGCCTTGCGTCTACGTAACCTACCTAATGTTGCGTAACGTGTGAGAAAATGTGTCATGCAGCGCACCATCCTTTTTGCTTGCTAACCAGCCATCGTAAATGGTATGATTTATTAAGTCCTGACTTGAACTCATATCTAACATTGAACTCATGTGTAACATACTTTGCGACAGGTTTATCTGGTGCAATAATTGATTTTCCCAGCGCCCGGAACCCAGCTGGCTGATTTGCGCTGTTTTGTCAGAATTTTGGGATAGTTCACACTCACCAATTGTGTAAGGTAAAGCTTGTTCACTTGCGCTTAGCAGCGGGCCACCGACGCTTATTGCCATGAACGCTTAGCAGCGAGCCACTGACGCTTATTACCTTAGCAGCGGGCCACTGACGCTTATTACCCTGAACGCTTAGCAGCGGGCCACTGACGCTTATTACCCTGAACGCTTAGCAGCGGGCCACTGACGCTTATTACCTAGGCAGCGGGCCACCGATGCTTATTGTCCTAGACGCTTAGCAGCGGGCCACTGACGCTTATTACCTTAGCAGCGGGCCACTGACGCTTATTACCTTAGCAGCGGGCCACTGACGCTTATTACCCTGAACGCTTAGCAGCGGGCCACTGACGCTTATTACCCTGAACGCTTAGGAGCGGGCCACTGACGCTTATTACCTAGGCAGCGGGCCACCGATGCTTATTGTCCTAGACGCTTAGCAGCGGGCCACTGACGCTTATTACCAAGGCAGCGGGCCACCGATGCTTATTGTCCTAGACGCTTAGCAGCGGGCCACTGACGCTTATTACCTAGGCAGCGGGCCACCGACGCTTATTACCCTGAACGCTTGGCAGCGGGCCACTGACGCTTATTACCTAGGCAGCGGGCCACCGACGCTTATTACCTAGGCAGCGGGCCACCGACGCTTATTACCCTGAACGCTTAGCAGCGGGCCACTGACGCTTATTACCTAGGCAGCGGGCCACCGACGCTTATTACCCTGAACGCTTGGCAGCGGGCCACTAACGCTTATTACCTAGGCAGCGGGCCACTGACGCTTATTACCTAGGCAGCGGGCCACCGACGCTTACTACCCTGAACGCTTAGCAGCGGGCCACTGACGCTTATTACCCTGAACGCTTGGCAGCGGGCCACTGACGCTTATTACCTAGGCAGCGGGCCACCGACGCTTATTACCCTGAACGCTTAGCAGCGGGCCACTGACGCTTATTACCCTGAACGCTTGGCAGCGGGCCACCGACGCTTATTACCCTGAACGCTTGGCAGCGGGCCACTGACGCTTATTACCTGGGCAGCGGGCCACCGATGCTTATTGTCCTAGACGCTTAGCAGCGGGCCACTGATGCTTATTACCCTGAACGCTTGGCAGCGGGCCACCGACGCTTATTACCCTGAACGCTTGGCAGCGGGCCACTGACGCTTATTACCTGGGCAGCGGGCCACCGATGCTTATTGTCCTAGACGCTTAGCAGCGGGCCACCGATGCTTATTACCCTGAACGCTTGGCAGCGGGCCACTGACGCTTATTACCTAGGCAGCGGGCCACCGATGCTTATTGTCCTACACGCTTAGCAGCGGGCCACTGACGCTTATTACGTGGGCAGCGGGCCACCGATGCTTATTACCTTAGCAGCGGGCCACCGACGCTTATTGCCCTAGATGCTTAGCAGCGGGCCACTGACGCTTATTGCCTTAGCAGCGGGCCACTGAAGTTTTTTGCCCTGAACGCTTTCTTTCGATTCACTTTGACCGGTAATTGGCACCTGTACCTGAAGCCAGCAACGGGTAGGTGCGTCAACCTGCTCACTGCGTTCGGATGGGAAAATGCTTAGAGCACGCCGGTTTTGATGTTAGCAAAAATGATACGAGAAATTATCAATAATAGATTAGTGGTTATTGTTTGTAGTTATGCGGCAACGCGGGTGGGCCCATTTATGCCGTAATAACTGCAGCACTGTTGGATGCAGCCAGGCGCTGGCATCCCCTGCCAGCATTGACACAACTGTGGGTTGAAAAAATGTTGTTTCTAAAACTGTTAATAGGTAGGTTTTCTGCATGCTGTACTATTGAACCCGTGTTTTTGCCCGAGATCCGTGCATAGAACACATAGGGGATGCGCCCACCCCAGGTCTTCCTCATGACTAACAGTATGGATGCATCCATGCCGTCCGGGACGAAGATGAACTGGGCTTGAGCAATGACACTTGATGTATTTGAGCCAAGATCGAATAGCTAGCCTGTCCTGGGTTCTTCCATGAAATGGCGCTGTTTGTACCTTGAAACCAGGGAACTGTTTGAATGGTTGTGGGAGCTGAGCTGCGAGTTCGGAGAACTTCCTGCGCCCTGAAAAAACACGAATTCTGTCATATTTTAGTGCCAGTTGTGTCAACGGCGAGTATCAGAATCGTTTACGCGGATAGAAGCCTGTCATCTGCGCAGGAAGCTGCGTCGCTGCCACCATAGCGGGTACTCAAACACGTATTGTTATAATCGCGCTGTGATTTCACACAGTGACTTGTACAGGACGCACTACGCATCGGTAACAAGGCAACATCGTTATTGGTACGCCCATTCGTGACTTGCTCTGTTGGCAGCAAGCTGGCCGGATCATCCTGCCGGGTTTGGTAGTGTTGCCCGCAAATACTTAGTTCGGCCGGACAGTGCAATTCGTTGCCCAGTTCGTCCTTTAAGATTTTTAGAGCAGGCAAGAAGTTCTATCAGATCATTTTCAACACGATCTGTCAATTATGACCTGTGATCCGTGGTTCCGGAAAAAAACTTCACGGACCGTGCTCCCAGTGATGCGGGGAGCGCGTGATGCGTGATGCGGGGAGCGCGTCATGTGTGATGCGGGGAGCGCGTGATGCGTGATGCGGGAAGCATGTCATGTGTGATTAGGGGAGCGCGTCATGTGTGATGCGGGAAGCACGTCATATGTGATGCGGGGAGCGCGTCATGTGTGATGCGGGCTTAGTGCTGAGATTAAGGTGTCCCGTATTCCTTGCAGCATACAAAGATCAGAGGTCCGGCGCTAGCGTAATTCAGTGTCTGCCTCCAGCTTAGGAATAACGTGTCGCCTACGTGATATAGACAGATGTTTTCGCATAGATTTCACTATGCCACGGTTTGGCCTCCCATTTCAAAACGCTGTATAACGTTGAAGCACTCTGGTGAAGGGCCTCGTGCATTGTGGGCTCTAAGTGTCAGTACATTAAGGGATAATGACAGCGCTTAATGTCAGATAGTCGGATTTAGAGTGTCGGTACTTTTCCCGAGTGGGCCCTTGCGCGGCGGTTTGTCTCCTGATCCGATGCGTGCCGTCCTGCCTGGTTTTGTCCCCCACGTCGTGTATGTCCGTGCCGCAGCGACTGGACGGACCATGGTAGCCGTTGACAACAAATGCCTCCTACTGGGGGCGTTCACCATCATCATGTACTTCATGTGGATGGACATCGCACTCTGGTACCACCTGCAGGTCAGCACTTCTGCTACGAGCTACGCTCTCGTGAATCAGAGTGACGACAGCGATGATGGTGTGAGGTGGCTCTCTCCCCTGTCTGTGAACAGTATGCAACTTCCCCCTCCCTCCGCCCTGCAGTGCCATCCCTGCCTGTAGGTGGAATACGCTGTTCTCGGTGCAGTCTTTCCGCACCGAGCGTGAGTGCCGTCTGTTCCTGATTGTACGCTGCAGCTTAAGCGCCGCCGCTGCCGCGTGTCGTGCGCTGCGTGCGCTCCACGCAGGGGCCGCCCCGGCCGGACGGCGCAGGTGTTTTGAGCTGGCTCCGGCTGGTTCAAAAGCAATGAGGCCGGCAGCATGCCATTGTGAGTAAAGTATTGACTCAGCCCGACTGCTGGTCTGGCCGCGGCGCACAAGGCCATCGCCAGCGTGTGTGTGCGTGCTGCGTATGCGTGTGCGGGCGCGGATGTGCGTGTGGATGTGTGTGTGTGTGTGTGTGTGCGTGTATGTGTGTGCGTGTGCGTGCGCGTGCGCGTGCGTGTGCGTGTGTGTGCGTGTGTGAAGTGGGGCCTTTCAATACACCCACTGTTGACTTCCTCAAGGACTGTTGTGTTCAGGTGCACAACCAGGCTTTTCGTGCGGTCGGTTGAGATTTTCAAACGAGCCTCCATGGCTTTAGGGACTCCGCGTAAAGCCGATCGTCTGATTTCATTGCTCGGGGGGGGGGGGGGGGGTCAGGTATTTTGCCAGGCAGCGAGCGTAATGCCTAAGAATTTGGTGTTTTTTTCCCGGCGTTGCCTCCCTGCCAAAATTTGATGTTTTTTGCCGGCGTCGCCTCCCGGCCAAAATTTGGTGTTTTTTCCGGCGTTGCCTCCCTGCCCAAATTTGGTGTTTTTTTCCGGCGTTGCCTCCCGGCCAAAATGCATCTTGGAGCGTGCGGAGCACGAACTTTTCACAGTAGTGGAGTTAATCCTTGCAATTTCACGTCCAGTAATAAACACGAAAAAGTGCTTCGATAAGCGAACGTTTGCTGTTCGCGTAGCTCCTCATGCACAAAGAAAATAACTCCAATGATCTTGGCTTTCGGATGTGGTGGTGGGACAGTGAGGGCGAAGGCTCGAGTTTGGGACCGATTCGCCGGCCAAGCTGACGGCTGTTGGCCGCCATTCAGCGGCTGTTACTGACACCTGTTGATTGTTGAATGTTACCCGCGGGCTCCCAGCCTTGAGAAAGGTGCCTGCTCTTACGCAGAGTGGAGGGCTTGTTGTAAACTTGAAAGGTATTTGTTTTGCACGACTCGTTGTTCTCTTTTAATGGATTTATAGGCGCATAATGTTTTTAATAACCGCTTTTAATGCATGCGATTTCCAAGGTCGAATCCAATGTTGCTCACCTCTTCTGTCAATCCAATTTCACTTACCCTTCTCACAAATCTCAAATTTATTCCGACCCGATGCAGGAAAGCTTTCTTTAAGTTTACTTCCAAGCCGTTCATTGGATTAATTTCTAGGGTCGAGGCCCACACTAAGCAGCGGCACCGCGTGTTGCGTAAGCGCTCTTCCCACCATCTGGTCGCGAAATTCCAAGTCAACGGAATAATTTTGCAGTGAAAGGTTGGCGTGCTCTTTTGTTCTGCCAGATCTGCCCCACCCTATGACGTCACCTAACCTTTAGCGCGGCCGGTACCACCGGCCCCAGGCCATCCCATTCAGCGTCAAATCACGAGCACCTAAGCAACTCGAACCCACCCCGCCACGGGTAGACAGGCACTCATATCACCATAGATGACCGGGCATTTTTTGCTTGATATTGATATATATATATATATATATATATATATATATATATATATATAGCACGCACTGGGAACATGCATTTTTTAATTGATATTACGATGTAGAGTTCAGCCCGTGCCACTTCGTTTGGTCCTTAAGGGATTTCTCGGTATTTATAATGCATCTTGACTTAATATCGCGCGGTCGTGGCTTGTCAACGGCAGGTGCCCGTGCCACTGCATCCGCATGCAGACGCGCCTGCCTGTACACGCCTGCCACGCCACGCCAGCCGTTTCGCTTATTTGAAGCTTTAATGGTTAAGCCATGAGAAACCGTCCGTAAATTAGGTTACACATTTTTGGTCATTTTCAACATTTCAACCTAGTTACGCAACGGTTGCCCTGGGCGAAAATGGCCCTTCCCCTGATAACACTGCATTAAGCGTAACGTCCAAAAATACATCATTTGTTGTGCCCCGTAATTGCGTTAGAGGCGCAAAGCGAAAGTGTTTGTATTATGTGTCAGGAAGGAAAACCAACAGCAGTCGGCTTCGATATTTTGAAATACCTGAACGGGTCTTGCAATTATGTGTGTCTGCATTTGAGCGTACAGTTACGCTGTTCAAAACTACAACCCCTTGCCACGTGTCGGGGACGGTCCATCGGTCTGTTTCCCCTCCACGCTGAACGTGATTTATCGTCGGCCCTTAACAACGGTGCGAAATCTGTCGCCAAGTCACGCCTTTCGAAAGAGCAACTGTCAGGCATTGGGGACACCAGTCTTTTGCGGCACGCGCGAACGCTGCTCCGGCGAAGCAGCAACTATCCGACAGTCTTGGCGGCGGTCTTCGCCGGCACACACACACACACACACACACACACACACACACACACGCACGCACCACGCACGCACGCACGCACGCACGCACGCACGCACGCACGCACACACGCACGCACGCACGCACGCACGCACGCACGCACGCACGCACGCACGCACGCACGCACGCACGCACGCACGCACGCACGCAAACCCAACGGCAGGGGCCACCCACCCCGGCCAGAAAAAACAGTTCGACATCAAGTTAAGGTCAAGTGTGTGTGAGTACAGAAGAGGAAAAGCAGGGTAGGTTAGGAGAAAGTTACCGTCTCATGCAAAGGAGAGTTCTGAACCATGCGGGGGGGCGGCCCAAAGTTGTGCCCTTGCGCCCTTAAGCTGTAAGAGATAAGAGCCGCCGACAGCCCACAATTGAAGCCCTCAAACAAGGCGTGGGAGCCTTCAGATAAATGTCGGCTATCTAAGCTTAACTATGAGGTGTCTGGTACGGGGCTCGGCATCTTAACGCTTAGGTAGAGACACACACAGACTGCGTGCGTGCGTGCGTGCGTGCGTGCGTGCACGGTCCACAGGTATACGTTATGGACGTGGACCACGCACGCACGCACGCACGCACGCACGCACGCACGCAGTCTGTGTGTGTCTCTACCTAAGCGTTAAGATGCCGAGCCCCGCACCAGACACCTCATAGTTAAGCTTAGATAGCCGACATTTATCTGAAGGCTCCCACGCCTTGTTTGAGGGCTCCAATTGTGGGCTGTCGGCGGCTCTTATCTCTTACAGCTTAAGGGCGCAAGGGCACAACTTTGGGCCGCCCCTCCGCATGGTTCAGAACTCTGCTTTGCATGAGACGGTAACTTTCTCCTTACCTACTCTGCTTTTCCTCTTCTGTACTCACACACACTTGACTTTAACTTGATGGCGAATTGTTTTTTTCTGGCCGGGGTGGATGGCCCCTGCCGTTGGGTTTGAGTTTGGGCCCTCTCATACACTTGTGGGCCTAGCGTATACCTGTGGACCTTGTATTTACCTGTGGGCCTAACGTATACCTGTGGACCGTGCATTTACCTATGGGCCTAGTGTACACCTGTGGACCTTGCATTTACCTGTGGGCCTAGCGTATACCTGTAGACCTTGCATTTACCCGTGGGTCTAGCGTGTGCCTGTGGACATTGCATTTGCCTATGGCCCTAGCGTATACCTGTGGACCTTGAAATTACCTGTGGGCCTAGCGTGTACCTTTGGACTTTGCATTTACATGTGGGCCCAGCATATACCTGTGGATCTTGCATTTACCTGTGGGCGTAGCCGGGTAGGGTGTGAGAAACACTAATGCTTGAATGTAGGGGTTCCGTCTATTACGTCGGCTTGAGACACTTCTGCCTGAACGGGAGGCGCTCCCCTGGGATCCGGGGCACCCCTCTATCTGTGCTGGCTGTGGGCCGCGCCGTCGGGGTTCAGGAGGCCTCTGCGCGTGTTTTCAGGCACGCCGCTATGCTCGGATTTTATGACGCCCCATTTCGCCTTTCTGTACCAGGGACATCGGAATCGGACGGAGAGGTATACGACATTCCAGGGTATCGATGGATCTCGGGCTTGCCCTTCCCACCCCTTTGGGTACACCTCTGGAAGTGCTGCGGTGGTGAGCGAAGCCCTCTAACGGAGGGTTTGGAAGCTGAGGTGGTCAATGTGCGAAGTGCCAGTTAACGTTGTTTTGGGCACCGCCTGACAGAAGTGGTGCATCATGGAGCCTGGTACCGGCTGCGCCCTACAAGCCTATCAAGCCTATCTGCAAGCCTTTCAAGCCCATCCTCAAGCCTATCATGCCTATCTGTAAGCCTATCGGCCCATCAAGCCCATCTGCGGCGGACACGGACCAATTCGCCGATCATTCACCGGCGTCATTCATTAACTCAAACCCGACATGGTTATACCATGTCGGTTTCGGAACATCCACGGACAAATGCATACGCGGAAGCAGGCGTGGAGAGGGCGCTGGGCTGTTGGGGAGGGTTCGACAAATGCGTAGGACTGGCCTAACTGTGCGTACCGTCAGTCGCACAGATATCGGCGCCGACATGACGGCGCCATCGTCTCCATACGGTTTGATAGCCACCGGCAATGTTCTGACATGACGGCTCCACGGCGCCTCAGTCCGGTGTGACAGCCACTGACAGTGTCAGATCGGAATGTCGGGCTGGAGGGAGGCGGGGCGCCTGCCGAGCCTGCCGCATATGGCCGCCCGTACAAAGGTCGACCCAGCGCCGCACTGTAGTGGGCTTGGTGGGCGACAGCCTGGCATGACGACCGGGCTCGGAGGGACTTTATACAAACTAGGTCGCGCGTGACGCGCAGGAACAATGGAATCGGAGTGTAGACATGGAACGAGTGATCATATTTCAGCGAAGAACTAATGACGTACTGTTGACAAGCGCCAAGTACGTGCTGAGAGCCTGCTGGCCACGTCAGACTGGTATTTCTTGGTGGCGTGGTGAGAATTTTCCAGCATATTGATGTCATGCATGTGCGGTGAGCCCCTGCAATGTGATAACACACCACACGCCGGTGCCCAAAGACGACCGCAACGGCCCAAAGACGACGCCAAAATGCATTAGTAACCACACCACGCACGTAACCCAGCCGGGATTGCATCAGTGCTTCGTGTAACGCTTGGGTGATGGTCTGCGGTTACCGGGCGCGCGGCAGAGACGCTGGGTTGTCAGCAGGCTCAGCGCCTTTCAGACAACGTGGCTTAACACGCGCTCGGTTAGGGGGTCAAATTGACCCCCTCCTGAAGGTTTTTGGAGAATGGTTCCCGAGCGGCGCGGCGCAGCCGCGCCAAATTGTACATAGATGTAGATCATTGAATAGTGAATCGTTTGATATTAAAAATTCAGATGTACCTTCTAAGGTCACTGACATATGGCGGGTCAAAGTCAGGCTATTGGTTCAGCGAAGCCAATTTCTTGGGAATCGTTCAATCTGATGCAACAACGAAGTGTTAGACGAAGCCATACATCTCTGAGATTCTTCCCTAGGCGACGCAAATATGGAATGAGCAAATTTTATTGATCTTAGTTTAGGTATGAAGGTCAGAACAAGGTCAAAACCAGCCTGCTTTACTACTCTAGAGCTTGCCGTGTAGTAAAGTTTCTGGTGCTTATGTCGAATTTATTGATAGCAGAAACCGCATGGGCTTTTTATTCTTCTTTCTTTATTCTTCTATATTTATATATATATATATATATATATATATATATATTCTATATTTCTTCTCTATTCTTCCATGGACTTTTTAGAGGTCAGAATAGGTCATTCACCTGAAACGACCCAGGTCAACACTTTGCTTTTAGGAACCTACTGCCTGGCATAGTCTTTGTCGCTTATTCAAATGCAAAACTCAGAGCAGTCTCCATGATTTTGGTGACTATGACCTTGAAAAAGTCAAAAAGGTCACTGACCTTAAATGAGCATGTGACCTTTTGCTTAGAAACAGTTATCTAGGCTTTGGTGGCACTTAAGTGATCAACCTGTAATTTGACCTTGTTTGGCATTATTTGACCCGAAGGTCATGACCTAGGAACCTCAAAATTTGACCTAAGTGAGTTCACGTACAGTTCAGCACACCATTTAAATTTTGTCTCTCCAGCTCTCTTAGTTCCCGAGATCTCAGGGGGGTCAAATTGACCCCCGCCCGAGTGAGGGGTATCTAGCCGGCCCACTCAACCGAATAACTGCGCGTTGGCGTCGAAGTTGCGAAGTAGTGCCGAAATGCGCCCAACAAAAGGTATGTTGATCTTAATCGTCGCAGTCAGGGTGGTACTACTTGACGGTGACAGCAACTTCTTCAAACTTCTAGTTACGGCTTCTTTCCGTGAACCGAGCTAAATCAACACCATATGATTGTGGCGTCCTCGCAAACCCGAATCGGGCCGGCCCGGGGCCAGCATGAGCTTCTATGAGCTCCCCATCACCAGTCAACTGGCCATTGTTTCGAACGAACGCCGCGTAGCTGGTCCAGTGGGGGACTGCTGAGTTTATGCCCAATTCTTGTGAAGTCACTGCGAGCGTGCAATGCCGCATTACTCAGTTTTACCAGAGAGTCGGATGGCGATTCTGCTGACATGTTCAGCTGTTGCAGCTTTATGAGCCGTTTTATTCATGGCTGCTGCAGCTCTCCAGGCCAGTCGGAGGCCAGCGCTCTGGACCTGTTGTGAAGTAACGGGTATGTAAATGATCTAAAATGCCCACGCCATAGTTTATTAACCTAATAAAGACACCGTCACCTTCACTCGGTTGCGGTGATCCAGTACGTTAATTTTATGCGTCGATGAATGAACTAATAACTAGTGGTGGTTTTGCGTTTCCGTGCATTTCACTTTGCTAGCCTAGCTGTTGCCCCTTTCAAACAACGTGCTATGATACCGCATATTTGTACGACCCAGCAAAACAACGCTCGATAAGCACCAGTAAATACCGGTCAACAGTCAAAGACTGTGGCTCTGGGCCCGTCGTTTTGTCGCACAAAGACCAACTCGTATTGGAAGGTGGGTAGAACAAATGGTCGGTAGCGCAACCACTTCGGCCGCAAAATTCCAGTGGTTCATGCTAAAACATCTCCGTGCTGATAATATCTGCGTGAATCTGTATAGATCAAAATCATTCGCAAACGATGCATTTAAGCTGGTGTCATCACCAAAGCTACACTTACGGCACCCACTGGATAGACATGCAGTGCGATCGCATTCCAGTGCTACAAAGTGCCAATGTGTGCAGTCTCCAGCGTGCGAGGTTAGGACCACTGTGGAGCAAAGTCCAGGACCGAATCCGCAGTTCCCTGGCGGTGGACCCGTTCCATAAATCAAACACGTCGACCTTGACAATCAACCGGGTCGCATTTTCGAGCGGGCATAAGCATGGCTGTCTCGGTGCGTTCGTTTGGTTTGTTGGGAGTTGGATCGACGAAGGCCGTCACTCAGCTGTCGAGTTTGGCGGCGTCCACGGCGACCGCCTCGCCGTCTTTGGTCGGGAGCAGATCTGGGTGGCGCTGTGACGTCACCCTGGGGACCGGCTGGCCGTGTGCTGCGCCCGACGATGCTTGTGCGCCGCGCCGTCGCGGCTGGCGCGCGTTACAGGCCCGCGCACAGTAGCTTACTACGTGAGGCAGCCTCTCTACATGGCTGCCGCGGTGGCACGCTGGAGAGAAGAGGGCCGATGCAGCTGCTAAGGAGACGGCGGCCAGCGCTCGACCTCGGTCCGCTGGAGCGCCGTGCCCAGATGTGGAGCGGCTGCTCTCCGGCCGTTTGGGATCACATTGGCAACAGCCGGGGACCAGGTCGGCACGGGCGCCCGTGGCCACGGGAGACACGGGCTCATACCTGATGCTTCAGAGCTTCGGGAGAGGAGGGCGGGGTCTGGGCGTCCTGTCAGGGGAGGGGGGGGGGGGGGGGGGGCGCAGTACTGTGCGTCTTGTGCCGAGGCAGTGGAGGGAAACATATGGGTGCCTACGCGAAGCTTACGTGCCGACTACGTTAATGCCACGTGCGGAACGTGCGGCCTTCTTGTCTGGGTGCGCCAAGCACCTTCATGGTTCCGTCGCCATCGTCGGCCATCCAGTGCTCGCGTGCTTGTGCGGCGCCCGCACCCGGCTGTCGAGCGACATGCTCGCTTTGGTCGCTGTATGTCGCGCAGACTGTGTGCTCAAGCACCGGAGGCCGTTTATGTGGAGGCCGCTCTAGCGTTTCTGGGTCACTTCTGTGATGCTTGAGCGGTCTACGAGCGCACTGGCTATTGGGGTCATTTGGCGTTCCATACATTCATACTTACTCCGCGTCATCCTGCCAATGAGGCGGTTGCAAAATTATATATTCCCGTTAAAAAATAGTGTACGTTCTAAATGACACGGATTTCGGAATAATTTACACGCCTATGCCCTCTAACGCCATCTATGTAAAAACCCACTGAAATAGCGCACCGTTCGCCGCTAGCATGACTGAAGATGCTCGGGCGTGCTGGAAACATGTGATTGCTGAAGTGCATGCCCTTGCTGCGGGAAGATACCATGCGCATGCGCGCAATGTGTGCATGCCGTGGTCGCCCGCACACTTCCATCGTGTTTTTCTTTCACATCACGAAACCTTCTTAGGTTTGTATGCAAATCCGAAGATTTCACTTCATCCGTTCCATACAAAACAGCACATCATTTTATGTGTACATCACGAGGCCATAGTTATGGACGCAAAATGACCAATACTATTGACGTTGTCATTCGTACCACAGATAAGTAAAAGCTGCATTAAGTTACAGTTGTACTTGTGAGACACTGCCGTTTTGTCAAGCGTCATGTGGTCGAGTGCCGCCCTTTCCATATACATTCCGGAGTGCCGATCGAAGCACCATCCAAATGGCCAATAAGGGGGTACGTGCTGCCCCGAGCTGGCGCTGTGCGTGTGCGGTGTGTGGACAAAGTGTCGCGGTCACCTCCCTGCTCCGCCGACAGGCATTGGTGCCGTCAGAGAAGGGCGCGATGACCCACCAGCAGGACGACGCCTTCTCCGTGTTCTACCCCATCACGGTCAAGCTGCTGATGTGCGACCCGATCAACCACTACATCTACCTGCCGCTCTGCTTTGTATTCACACAGGTGGGTGCCACTGGTCGGTTCTGCGTGGTCAGAGTACCGTGGACTCGGCCATCGGTGGCATGACAGTGCGATCAGAGTACCGTGGAGTCGGCCGTCGGTCGTGTGGCAGCATGAGCAGAGTACCGTGGAGTCGGCCGTCGGTCGTGTGACAGCATGATCAGAGTATCGTGGAGTCGGCCGTCGGTCGTGTGGCAGCATGAGCAGAGTACCGTGGAGTCGGCCGTCGGTCGTGTGGCAGCATGATCAGAGTATCGTGGAGTCGGCCGTCGGTCGTGTGGCAGCATGAGCAGAGTACCGTGGAGTCGGCCGTCGGTCGTGTGGCAGCATGATCAGAGTACCGTGGAGTCGGCCGTCGGTCGTGTGACAGCATGAGCAGAGTACCGTGGGAGTCGGCCGTCGGTCGTGTGACAGCATGATCAGAGTACCGTGGAGTCGGCCGTCGGTCGTGTGGCAGCATGATCAGAGTACCGTGGAGTCGGCCGTCGGTCGTGTGACAGCATGATCAGAGTACCGTGGAGTCGGCCGTCGGTCGTGTGGCAGCATGATCAGAGTACCGTGGAGTCGGCCGTCGGTCGTGTGACAGCATGAGCAGAGTACCGTGGAGTCGGCCGTCGGTCGTGTGACAGCATGAGCAGAGTACCGTGAGTCGGCCGTCGGTCGTGTGGCAGCATGATCAGAGCACCGTGGAGTCGGCCGTCGGTCGTGTGACAGCATGATCAGAGTACCGTGGAGTCGGCCGTCGGTCGTGTGACAGCATGAGCAGAGTACCGTGGAGTCGGCCGTCGGTCGTGTGACAGCATGAGCAGAGTACCGTGGAGTCGGCCGTCGGTCGTGTGACAGCATGAGCAGAGTACCGTGGAGTCGGCCGTCGGTCGTGTGACAGCATGAGCAGAGTACCGTGGAGTCGACCGTCGGTCGTGTGACAGCATGGTCGCAGTCGGAAGCTTCCTGGCCATACTGCTCTGCCGCGTCACCCTGGGCTCACTGTGTTTGTCTAGGCTGAAATGGTTTGGTTCCGATGCATGATTTGAGCCGTGTTTGGAACGTTGAGTACAAAAACGAGTGGATAGTCGTTTGCACTTTGAAACAGTTAGAGGAAAAGCGTCGTCCCGTCACTTCACGGGTGAGAAACACACGAACTCTAAAATGGGTCACAGGTTTCGCGACAGGATACACATACGTGTCATAAAAGCCGCCTCAGGATAAACGGTCGGCGCGCCTCACAAGCGTAGCAACCAATCAACCAAGCTGTGTGCGCGTGCTGGTGTGAGCCATGCTGCGGAGGATGGGTGGGTGGGTGGCACCGGATTAACGGGTGTGTTTGTGCACGGCGAATGGCCAGCAACACAAACTTCCTATCTTGGTCGTGCCGGTTTTAATCATCTAGCGTGGTCCGCTCGGCTTGGCTCAGTACGGCACCGTAAATTGTGAGCCCCAAAATCCGAACCCAGTGCCTGGCACGGCCTGGAGGCTTGTCGGCCAGCCCTGCGCGCCGGCAGCATTCCTGCTGTCAGGAGGACTGAGTGCGGCTGGCCGGACGGCGGCTGGGCAGCAGCACGGTCTGCAGCCGCTCACGCCGGGGGCGTGTCTGTCGTCGGCCCGCGCCGCCATCGGCGCCCATGTATTTCGACGACAGCTCTGGCCGGCATGGCATTTGGGGTACATTCGCAACCCACCAAAAATGGTTTGTTTTACGCGCTGACTCGTATAATTTTTGGCGGACATGTCCGCAGCGCAACTCGTTTTCTGTTTGCATTTTCGAAACTTTCGTGATAACACGGTCTATGGTATCTAGGAAACCGGAGGTACGCGGCTCGATTCCCCGCGCTGTCCGCCCTTCCGACCAGCGTGAGAGGCAGATGAATTCGTATAGCTTCAGCAACGCGGCTCGATTCCCCGCGCTGTCGGCCCTTCTGGCCAGAGTGAGACGCAGACGATGCCGTATAGCTTCAGCAACGCGGCTTGATTTCCCGAGCTGTTCGCCCTCCTTGCCAGAGTGAGAGGTGAACGACGCCGTGTAGCTTCAGCAGCTCAGTGCGTCATGAAGTACCAATGGCATACAACAACTGCGCATGCGAGACAAGCATTCTGACGATGGAATCTGTGCATTATGCTATTTGCGGCTCATAACAGACATTTTCTTCACCTGTCGTCGGTCCTGGGCGCGCAAATTGGCTTGCTTTTAAGCGAGCCTTTAGCGTCACTCCTGCTTCACTTCGATCAAGTGGAGGAAAAAGCTTTTGTGCGTCTGGCAAAGATTTTACGTGACGTCAGGTAGAAGCTTTGTCGTCCTGAGCGCTGCGAACACCAAAAGGCGCTGAGTCTATGGACATGACGTCACGCGTGATGTCGGCGGTGTAGACTATTTGTCTTCCGGGCCGCCGTAAGTGCACTTTTGAGTGTATCCTCTCTTGTAGCATCGTTGCAGTATCGAGGCACACAATACTGCCGTGTCATGCGGCTGTGATCGGACGACAGTGACTTGCGATGTGAGGCGAAACAGCTGACCGCGGTCCCACCTTAGATGCAGGTGCATGCCTGCACTGTGTCATGACAGAGCTGTCTGTGTCGTGCATTGGTGGTTTGCGGCGGCGCACTAGATGTAGCTTCTCCCAGTTGCCTGGCTGTCGCGACTCTCGCGTCAACAGAGAGAGAGGCAGTGCTCGCGCTCGCCCCCTGGGCGCGAGCTGCGCCACCTCTGTTGCTTACCGACCAGGGTATCCACTGCGCAGCCCCGGCGCCGGGCATCGAGCGCCCCCCGTCCGCGTCCGCTATCTGCTGGGTCCGCTCGTATGTTGACCCGTCGACTTGTGATAGGCGTATTCGCCTACGCACCGGGCATCGATCGGCGCAGGTAGCGTTGATTGTCCACCGTCGGACTCGCTCACGAAACATGCGGCCATCTTTGCTCGTCGCTAGTAATTATGGTGTCCTTGGGAGCAAATGTGTGGCGGGGAAGCAAGGTACATGCTCGGGAACGTTTCAAAAAGAGGGGGGAGGCCCAGGGCACATTAAATGAACGTTCACAGGGGAGGCAAGCCGTGGCCCAGCGGGCACGATAAATACATTTGCCAGCTCTTAATCCATAAGCTACTTTAGAGACAAAGAGCTGGTCTGGCTGCTAATTGCCATCTATATCATATGTCTACTGATGTTTCTCACCGATGCACAATTTCCTCTACTCGACTCATGTATTCCATTCGGCAAACAGACAACACAGGCTGTTAAAAATATGCATGCGTATTCATGCGGCAGCATGATTTCCACTGGTCATGCCAAATTCCACGAGTGGGGAGACATTTTGTATCACTGGGAGGCATCCGCTGTCACAGTGAACATGCTAAAATAAGGCCTGAGCACAGACAGGGCAGAATTTCAAAATCACATACCACCATAGCATTTCACAAGAATCTCTAAGACAGGTTTTTATCTTGTAGAAGTACAAAAGTCATGAAAGGAATAATCTTTCAGGTCTTCCTCTCCCAATCCTTGAACGGGCCCGCCGTCGGCGGCCACCGCTCTGTCCGAGCTGCTGCTGGTCGGCGGCGGCCGCCACCGACAGGGCCGGCCGCGAACTGAACGTCCCACTGGTTTGTCGCATGCTTGTCGATTGTTACCGCTGCTCGTTATGTGGAGAGGAGGTGGTACGCCTGCTGCAACACCTTTTACCGAATTCACTGCCTTGACACCATACCACGTCATAATTTATAAATTCAGAGAGCTTCATACCCGGAGTATGGATTAGTCCACCGGACATTCATTTGCCTCTCCAGCACTCCGGATCCAACATAACCGGATTTATGCGCTTTTGTATACGAGACGGAGGCATCCTCTTGAACAAGATGCGTATATCCGTCGTAAGCGTTTAGCGTAACTCAGCATATAAGGGGAAGACTTGTTGGTTATCACACCGCCAACCGACTGAATCATTTTGAGGCATGAAATGCAGCAAGGGTGTCAGGCGTTTCAAGGAACGGCTGACTAAACCGAGCATGGAATGTTTTGTATTGCAGTCTCCTGTCTAACATGCACGTCGATTTTTAATAGTCTATATTGAGCTTGCATCTGATAGGATGGAACTGATTGGGCTAACTTCTAGTGCGTTGATTTTGTAGTTCTCAACTGTTCAAGTTTGCGATTCCGTACTCCATCATTGGGACATGTATTGCCCCTTACGTATATGTGTGTGCCGGTTCCTACAGCCGCGTCCGGAGGGTTCAGACGCCGAGTTCAGCACGTGGTAGGCATCTGGGTCTGGGTACCAGTGGCGGCTGATTGTTTGACCCGGTAGATGCCAGTTGGCGGGAGGCGTGAGGGCCTCCGCGGCTACACCGCGAAACGGTGCCAAAGCCTGACATGACACGTGAAGGCTCCCCAGGCTGAATTCTCCTTTATTGTTAACGAACCGGTAGTCTCAAACCATGTCAGTCTTAACTAGGCGTTCAGACAGAACAAGAAACAAGTAAAAATGAAAACATTGAACTAAAAAGAAAGAAAAGTTTTTCGAAAAGCAATTTTGGCTGACCGCACGGCGCGACCCTCGGCCCCGGGAGCGCTGCAACGGGCGTGTGGGGACGCGGCACCGTAACCCCAGCAACACTCGGAGGAAGAGTGGTGAGACGGCCGGACATGGCGATGCGGGTGATGGGGAGGGAGCGGCCCGGCCAGGGAGCAAGTGCTCACCTGCCGCCAGGGGTGCTAGTCCCCGAAAAATACAGCTCGCGGTGTTCCACCGGTTCCGGAACTGGGACCCGATGGGGTGCTGCTCCCCTACACCGGCCGAAGCCGGTGCACTTGCGGGGGTGGTAGAACCAACGCTGTAAGCAGACAGAACGTAGCTTTGGGTGCTAGGGTGTGCTAAAGCTTGTCCTAAAATATATCCGTTGGCTCGCTATACATGGTAGCAAATGATGTTGCAATTCGCCATATGAAAAGCTGTTATCGAACGGGGTAATTGGGAAGGTGGCTTGTGGACTGGATGAATCGGCATGCATGGCTTA